GCAAATCCATACAATTTTGCCAACCTTTTTATGGCAATGGTGAACTACTTAGTATTTGTATGTAATGGCAGCTTGACTATGAGAGATTTCATGAGGATATGAAGTTTTAGACTCACATTATTCTAAATAGACTTACAGCTAAGGCTATAATTAATGATGTGTTCATTTTTCTTCTATTTATGAACTGTTTTACTTTTTATGTTTCCTGATATTTTATTTTATTTGTTGGTGGTTAATTTTCTGTTTTGTTTGGCTTTTGTCCATAAATTGATCCTGCCATACTTTATCTCCTTGATATATTTATCTTTTTCATTTTTCTTATTTAAAAAGTTTCTTCAGAAGAAACTTGTGTGTAAACAATTTTGACATTTGTTTTATGTAGCAAAATTTTTATGAAATATTAATTGTCTTGATCATTTTTATCATATTTCCTTAATGTGATTTCTAATAGCATAGATGACTTTCTCTGTTTAACAGTCAGGAATAAATAGACACATTCAGTTCTGTTTTAATAATGTTTTTCTTCGACATTCAACCTTTCATTTGAACTTTGGGGGATGTACCAAAAAAAAAAAAAAAAAAAGAAAGAAAAAAGAAAAAACATTGGACATCTCTTACTTTTAATGGATGTTTTAACTGTTTATTTTCTTAATAATAATGATTCTAAATGTCAAATTATGCTTGCCATTAATATCTCTTATTGAATAGAAAAACTGGCCTTGGGTTGAATTTACTACTCACTTCGTAAGCAGGCTAGTGTCATAAATACCTGTGAACTGAGTTAAAGGAGTAGGTGCATAATGCATAGTTTGTTGTTGCTTTATAATCCAGTTTTCCTTCTAAACCACCCTTTTCAGTAGCAGTAAGGAATCTGCTTAAAAAAAATTAAAGTTGGCAAGGAATGTGATATAGCAGAGTTCTTCAATTAAATGTCACACCAGGATTATGTATTTACAAGGATTTGAGAGATTGATTTTCCTTTTTTCCAGTTAACATCACATAAAGGTGAACAATGCTAGCCCTATCTAAAAGCAAGTTATAAGAGTTTAGAAGATTCCTTGCCCATTGTAAGTCTATTGAATAAATAAAATTCATGAGTTTTGTAAACAAAGTCATTCATTTGCCTTCTAATTAGTGTTGTCACCTCTACTAGATTAAAAAAAGCTGCCATGGTTCCATCTTGAGTTTGAGTTTTGTCTCCAACACAACAGTTAATATAACATAGACATTTATTTGTCCCAGTGACCTGAGTATGTTTTATTACTCAGAAAACTTTCTATCCCTTTATTGAACTTAATGATTCCATGCTACAAGAGAGTGGAAGAAACAGGCTATGGTGTGTCAGTGGATAGACTGTCAGAGAACTAGCATAAAGAGATTAATCTGAATCAAAAAGAACAGACCAGATTCAAATGGAGATTATCAAAGCCTAGAGAAATGTATAGAATTAATGTTGGCAAATTTGAGAACCAGGTCTTCTCTAAGACTTATTGGTCTTTGAAAAAACTTATTTTATCTAACTATCTCAAAAGTTTGGAAGAGAGGGCTGGAGAGTTGGCTCAATGGTTAAGAGCATTGGCTGCTCTTGCAGAGGACCCACATGGCAGCCAACAACCATCAATAATACCAGTTCCAGGGAATCTGATGCCCTCTTCTGGCTTCTATGGGTATTGCACACACAGGTATACTTAGATGCATGCAGGCAAAACACTCGAAAACACAAAAAAGACAATGCGAGAGATAAACAATACCCAGCTAGTTTTGAAAAAAGAGGGAACCATATTACTCCTATACCCTACTGACAAATTATACATAGCAGATCAAGAAATATATGTCTAGGGAAGGTTTATCTGAGAACAATTGGTCTTTGCCCAAGATTTATCTACATGACACACAGTAATTAAAAGTACCAGACTGGTGGAACTAAACT